CCTCTAATTTAAACTAATCTTCGTCTTTTAACTACTTAGATATTAGAAAGAAATAGAAAGAATAATAATTAAAGTACTTCAACTAATTAAGTATAAGGTCAGCATTCGAAAACCCCGTCGGCAATTTAGTAAAGCGGACGCCGTTATCAAAATTATTATAAATAACTCCTCTATTAAGTCGGTTTTAAAAATTATATAAATAAAAATAATATTAACTGTAGTACTTACGCTAGTAATAAGGGTAGTAAATTCGTAATTGGTAATATTATTAATCATTAATTATTGAAGTAAAAAAAAAAGGTTAGTATTCTTCCTTATATTAGATTATTAGTAAAGTAATATTAAAAGCGATTTAAAACTTTTTATTAATTTACTTTAATATTCAGTAGATCCTTAAAATAATAACCCTAACGTACCTACCCAATATATAACTGGTTCTAATACCTATTTTATTACTATTCTAAACGTCTCCCTTAGTAACCTTATACTCATTAAACACTTCTTCGTATTTATTAAACTACTTATTAATAGAGTCTTTGTTCAATTCCTAGAACCTTTTTTTAATATTAATAGTATAATAAACTATAAACTTCAATTCTAAGTAGTCTTTTATAAACTGGGTTAACTACTAGCTGTTATAGGTAATTGGCATACCCTACAGTAAGCGTAATCGATTTACGGCTAATATAATTATTTTATACAACGTAAGGAATATCCTTTAAAAATAGAATATTACGTACAATATAATCGCATTTTCTTTAGCGTTTATTAATATACAGGGACGCCCTTTTGGTTATAATAATATAATAGGTTTCTAAAATTTATGTAGGGATTTAACGTAACGAGCGATAGATATACGGGATTCGCTAATAACGGTGACGATATTTCTAATAGTTAGCAATTTTATTACTCTACTTTTAAGGGATTTAAAGCGATATTAGGCATCGAAATACATACGAGCGCCGCGGTAACTAGCGGGCGTTATACCTAATTTATTAAAGTACTTATGAAAGTCTATAGGTATTATATTTAATAGTTAGTATAGTAACTACTCTATTAATCTATAGTTATATAGACTGCTTACTGTTTTATAGTTTTACGCAGCAAATTGTACGAGTTGGGATACGGTTTTGGTAGTGAAGCTGTTGCCGATTTCATGATGTAAATGAGTGATTTTGTAAGGCGTTAATAATCGAATCTGTATAGTACCAACCGGGCTTGTCCCAAATTAAAAAGTTGTCCTACAATTCCCTAACCCCCTATTTAACAAATAGGGGGGTTAAAAGCCTTAGCGCCCAGAACCCCCCAAGTAGGTAGTTTTTAGTCACTCGTAGCTAACGTTAGTCATTGCAACACTTCCTCAGCCACTCACAGCAATGGGGGACATTGTGGGGCTGAATGAAACAGGTGGGGACAGCTGTCTAGGCATCCCACTTTGCCAAGCCACACTTGCACTCTTCCAAGTTCCATGGGTCGGCGTTTGTCAACATGAACCACCATGATTCATCTTTCATCACCGTCCATGGGCATCCACATTCACCACTGCTAGTCAGTAATGAAACGACAGAGAACCAGCAACGACGACCACCGCCACCATGGAAACAGGCACACGCCAGTCGACATATATCATGTCCGCCCACCACGGCCAATGGGGCTGATGTCATTCCATCCCTAAATCTGACCAAACTGAGTTCGCAAACATGCCGGCGACGACGACATCGGCCCCCAGCCAAACCCCCGGCCAAACCCCGGTCGTCAACATCACGGCCGCACACATCATCAAGTGCGCCAACCCCAAGAGCGTAGACCACCTCCCGTCGCCTTTCCGACTTGGGCCCTTGGATCACTTTGCCCATACCGCCGTCCCCACCGATCTGGTCTACGTCTACGAGAAGCCCGATTTCCTTCAGGCCAGGGATTTTATTCCCATCGCACGACTGCATGACGCCATCAGCACCCTCCTCAACTACTACCCCCATTTGACGGGCCGCCTCGCCGTTGACCCTTCCAATGGCGTCCGGAGTATCACCAAGCTGGGCACGGGCGTCTCCCTGTTTGAAGCATCTTGCGACCAGCCGCTGTCGCCGTCTCCAGATCAAGACCATATTGAGATGACCAATCTCCCAGGGGCAGGAGAAGCGCTGATTCCTCCCTCATTCCCTACAGAAGCGATGCTGGCTACTACGGCTCACTGGGATCCCTCTTTCGACGAGGAAGCGGGCATCCAGCGCGGTCCCCTTTTGCTAATCCAACGTACCCAGTTCAAGTGCGGCGGCGTTGCCATCGGGTACCGTATCTCCCACGCCGTATGCGCCGCAGAGGGGTGCATTCACTTGTACCAAGATTTGTGCGAAATCTACCGCAAGCTTTCTCGTGGTGAAGCCGGGATTCTGGACCGCCTACCGCACATCATTTCCTTTGGCGCCGACCGAATAACCACCCCCAATGAGGAAGCAAAAAATCATGCCATGGAACATCCGCCCTTGGGCTACCTCGTCTCCTCCCAACCAGACGAAGCACTAGGCGGCGATGCCGACAAGCACATGAAGAGTACAGTCTCCTCAGACACCGCTGTCCAAGAACATCCCATCGCTATCGCCGACACTTATCTGCACTACTCCCCCTTTGAACTTGCCAACCTCAAAATCAAGGCTACCAACCCCAACGATCCTGACTCCTGGGTATCCACGTTTGAAGCCCTCCTTGCCCACCTGTGGCAGCAAACCCACCAGGCCCGCGTCCGCGCCGCTTCCGATCAAGCCCATCGTATGCCCACCGGCGACCCCAAAAGCGTCCCGACACCCAGCTTTTGGACCAACATCAACTTTTCCCATTCCAACCGCCTCGACCTCGCTGGACAAAGCAAGGGGATGGGAAAGAGTCATTACTTTCCCAATGCCGTTCTTCCCGTTTTCTTAACCGTAGCCGAGGACGATACGATTGACTTGTACGATGCCCCGCTCTGGCAGGTGGCCAAACTAGTACACGAGGCGATACGCCATCCCGAGACTGCTAGCACCGAATACGCTTTGGCGGTCACCAACTGGATGTGTGACTTGCCCGACAAGCGCCTGGCCAAAGTCGACTTCAACCTGTTTGCGAGGTGGTGCTTTGTGAATACGGATTGGAGCAAGTACGAGCTGTATGGGGAGCGGACAGCGCTGGATCGGGTTGAGGCAGTGTTGGCAGCCCCGCCATTCACAGCGATATCGAGGTTGGATGGCTTTACGACTTTTGTTCAAGCGAGAGAAAGGGGAGGGATTGACGTAAGGTTGACGATGAACAAGGCGGCCTCGGGATATTTGGAGGGATGATTTGGGCATGGTATCCCTAGGACAAGGCGGGAGCTGTAGCGGGTAGGAGAACCTGGGTACTCGAAGGATCTGACCGAGGAAGTTTTGGCCGGCTGTGATCCATGGAATTCTCTACCTTACCATCTCCAGACTAGCATTAAGGAGCGAAGGCATCGGAGTGCATCATTCAAACATCTACCCACAGCAAAACGTACATGGCCAAACAGCCTTCGCTTCTTTGTCCTGTCCGAAATCCGTTTCCATCCATGAACGTCAAGGCCTCAAACTCGCTGTCTAAACCAACTAATCTCCCTTTCCAGCCGACCACCACAAAACAGACATACGAAACAAAATCAGAAAGTCGCCGGTTGTGGATCACAGTACCCAAACTCGGGCTGACAACCCACGATATACGGACAGAACTGATCCCCATCTCCACACCATCCAAACTGGCTGCAACACCGGCCATAGGCACTTCCCAAACAGTTCTGTCCGTTTCCGCACCGCCCATCTGTACTTGGCACTTGACCGGGCGGTAGCGTGAATGTCGGGCCAGCGCTCGTACTGGTGCTTGTCCGGGTTGAAGTAGTAGTACTGGTGGTGGAAGTGGAAGTGGAAGTGGAAGTGGTTCCAGGGGATCCGGAATCATCCTCGCAAAGACCAAAAGCGGATTGGCAGCCTGCACCACAGTACTCGGGTCCGGAACCGCACCAGAAGAAACGAGAGCAGCAGGGGCCCCAACCGGCGTCGGTGATGCCAGGGCAAATGGTAGAGTTGCCGCATTGTCCGTTGGTGGTGATGATTCCAGTGGGGATGGGGACGAAACTACTGCTGCTGCTGCTGCTTCCGGTGGTACTGGTGCTGCTGCGTATCGAGGTGATGCTGGTGATGATGGAAGTGCTGCTAGTCGGCCTTACGGTGGTCGAAGTCGTAGTGGTAGTGGTGGTAGCCACGGGTCGAGGCCATCCACAGACACCATAAGCAGGCTGGCAATCAAAGCCCGGGTAGCAGTGGTCTACGGTGTCGCCACAGTAGCCGTACTCGGAACAGCAGAGGCTGTCGGGGCAGCGGCCATAGTTGGCTCCGCAACGGCCGGTGGTGGTTTGGCGGATATGAAGCGGCTCGTGGGATTCGTCAAGACCTAGGTGTTGGTGTTGACGACGGGCGAGGGCGCCGAGGATTTGTCGGTCTGGGACGGGAAAGTCGTTGAGGTGGGGTTTGCCGAGAGCTGCAAAGGACCACAAGCTCCGCGCTGTGAATGTGATGAGGTTGAGGAACTTCATCTTGAAAGTGTCTACGTCTCAATCTGGAGACCGGAAGATCCACAGCAGGATGAGGGAAACAAGCCCGACGAGGGGAAGAGGACATATGAGAGGTTTTGAAGCTCTTTCGGGACTTTCTTTTCCACCGACTCCTTCCCACACTTGATCACTCACTCTCCCTTCTTGACTCAAGGACCCTCGATACCAAACTTTTGGTTGACGTGGACAGAGACATGCAGATGTGATAAGACGCCCAGAAATTTTGTCAACAGCCAGAAAGGGAATAACCACTCGGTCGTGCTGTTCGCCGGGATATAACCGTTTGGAAGTTGGAAAGTTGTTGCGGGAGAGCCACCTAATAAAGAGGCTAAATAACCGGCTGCCGGGTTTGCCGAGTTTATGTTGCTGCAGGAACGGGGAATCTTGTCCCGTGTCAACCACCTTCCGAAAACCACGTTGTTGTTATACCGTCTTGGCAGAAACTGGGTGACTTCATTGTTCTTTTCCTATTGTGTCTGGGGAAGTTCGGTACTTGATGTGCGGTTGGAACAGCCAAAGAAGGATGAAACGACGGGACAGACGAAGCCATTTCCGTTTCCAGAATACCAAGATACCTACGTAAAGCATCCCGCTATCACAATCACATGAGGCTCAATAGCCTAGTCCCATCGCTATGTCATCACGCCAATTTACCCGGTCACATCTCCAGTCACATGTTCCCAGCCTTCAGCTCCGAGCCCATTGCCTCAGAACGGGAAGCCGCACCGACGGCCTCCTCCTCCTTCCTAACCTCCTCCTCCGCCGCCTCAAACGCATCATAACAGAACAACACCTCTCTAAACTCCTTGGTCCACGGCAACGTATCCTTGTGCGGCAACGGCCCCTTGTAATACCTCCTCGCCTCTTCCTCCACGCCTTCGACATTCAACCACTTGGGCCCAGCATTGGACGCCAACATGGTCAAGTTACACCTCGGGATACGTAGCTGATCAAATAGCTGCAGACGACGCTTGACGAACTCTTCAAGCTGCGGAGGATCAGAGGGAAAGTCGCGAAAGAGGACTTCCATCGTGGCGGCCGACTCGATGGCAATGGCTCCGCCCGCTGCATGCGTGGGCATCATGACGTGCGCCGCGTCACCTATCACCACTGCTTTGCCGCGGACGAAGGAGTTCAAGGCGGGTCTTTTGAACAGGTGGTGGACTTTGATGCCTTTCTCGCCTGTCCCCCTTCCATTCTCCTCTCCCTCTTTCTCTTCTCCTTCCTCCCCATAAGCCAAATCGACCAAGGCCCTCACCGCCCCATGAAACCCGCTCAAAACTTTCAGCACCTCCTCCTTCCCTACCGCCGTCGACCAACCCCGACCCGGTGGTGACGACTCCCCCGCCTCCCCACTAGGTTGCGGCGGCGTGTCATGCACGATAGCGTTGTTGAGTACGCGTCCGCCGCGGCAGGGGTAAGAGACCCAGAGTACATCTTTAATAGGGTCGTGCCATGACAAAAAGCCGGGAAGGGGGCCGCCTTGGCTGTGAGGAAGGAAGTGTGGGCGCAGGGAAGGGTTGGTGAGGAACGGGGAGGAGGGGGTGAGGGGGAGGAGGAAGCGGTAGATTGAGCGGCTAGTGGGTTGTGCCTGGTACGAGGATGGTGTCGAGGAAGATGGCAGGATGGATGGGAGGAGTTTGGACTGTCGGGGGAAAGAAGGTTAGCGAAGGTGATGCAAGGAGGGAAGGAGGATAGCCAAAGGAGGATAGCCAAAGGAGGGAAAGAAAGAAGGAAATGGCAAATGTAAGAAAGGAGGAAGGGACACGTAAAAACGTACGTGAGCACCGTCAGCAACAACCACTAGATCCCATCCCTCCAGTTTTGTTCCATCTCTGAACTCAATCGCCCCTTCTTCGCAGTCCAATCCCACCACTTCTCTTCCCAATTCAATTCTGACCGGTCCTCCATCAACCACCCTTTTCGTTCCATGCCCCCCATCTACTTTCCCCTCCGTTTCCCTCGTCTTTTTTTTACTCTTAGATATCGCCCCCTTTACCCTCTGCGCCCCAACCAACTCCCTCAACCCCCAATGTAAATCCGCCCTATGAACGCCCCAAGACCCTCTATGTCCCTTTTCACCTCCCACTCCCAAATCCTCCCCAAACCCTTTATAATCCTCCGACTTGACAACCTCCAATGTATCCGCCCTCGCAAATCGAATACTCCAATTCGGCACCGGCTCTGCCTTGTTGAAATCGAAGCCCCATCGCGAGAGACATAAGCTGGCGTTGGGAGGCAAAGTGATGGCGGCGCCGGTCTCGTTGGAAAAGAGCGAGCGCTCGAAGATGGTGCACGACCAACCCGCTCGGCGGAGGGAGATGGAGGCGGAGAGGCCCGAGATGCCGGCGCCGAGGATGGCGGCGCGAGGGCGGTAGTTCTGGATCGAGGAGGAGGAGGAGGAGGAGGTCGGGGAGGTTGTCGAGGAGGGAGCCGCGGATGGATTAGTCTTGGGTCGGCCTACGTCTAGCGCGGAAGACATATCGGCGATGAACTCGGACGATGGCTAAGAGGGTTGGATGGTGATGTTCGAGGTTGGAGGATGCATCTCGACGTCGTCAAATCTCCGCGCGCGGGTGGCAGGTCAGTCATCAAGCACGCTCACTGTACGACCCTCATACCAGCGTCGTCGCACAGCAGCGCGTGGCAAACAGCTGCATCGTCGTAGCTCATCCTATTTCCATGCATGACAAGAGTGCAATGCGCATCCCGTTCAGTCACCGATGCATAGTGTACGGCTGAAGTTCAGATGGTTGGCCGTCATGCGTGCCAGGCACCTCTTAGCGGTTGGTCCATTCTCGCTGCTCCCTGGCGGCCACCGCTGTTTTTTTTTTTTTTAATTTTTTCTTTTATTTTCTTGTAGCGTTTCCCCACTGTTTGTCCGTCAGCAACTGAGATCTCGATGACATTTCGGGTCTGGGTTTCACCTGGTACAAGAGAAAACCGCCTCGCTTAATCAACCATCTCGATGCGCCCTTGGTATTTCCCTCAATATTTGTGGGGCTGATTTCCCCTGTAAGGACGGGCCGAGCAGCAAATCCATCAGAAATTGTCAAAATCAGGTGATGAGGCCATTCACAGATGCAAGTAAACACACTCGAGATAGGTAGGGGGCTCCATCCCACCAAACCTGCGCGAGTCGACAATTTGGGCCTAGCACTGTCTGGTATGTCGAACACCGTTGAGCCCGTCCTGGAGATTGTCAGGCCCATCCACTCCTTTTGCAGTCATCCGGCCGCAGATGCTTGATGGAATGTCCGGCGATGCCACCTTGAAAGTCCGATCCCTTTCGCCTTCACCATACATGTAAAGTCTCCGCAGTATGTAGGCCGCTGGCCCAGGACCACCCCGGCTTGGGTCACCAGTCGAGTGGGCGGCGGTTTGCGGGAAAAAAACAAGTCTGTGGGGAAAGGATCGAGAATCCATTTCGGATTACACATGCATCCATCACGGGGCCAGCAACGGGGACATGGACGTCTGACTGACGAGAAAAAGGCCAGCTGTATCTCCGGTGCTAGTCAGCAACAAGTTCGTGCTTCCGCCGTGACATGGACCGCAAGCGCAAGGTACAATCCCCCTCTTGGGTCCTCGTTCTGTCACGCAGGGTACGGGGAGTTGGCGGCGGGGGACCGGACTCACCTCCGGATTATGTTAGTGGACGTAACCGGGATCCCACGACTTGCTGCGTCTGAGCTGGTAGGGTTCCTAACAATATCTGACTGGAGCCGGCTGATTTCGAGAGGCGTGATTGGACCAAAATCAAGGTGAAAAAAAAGGGGGCGAAGGGAGAGTGGAAGCCACGGAACCGTTGGGGTCGTTATCACCACCCAAGTTTTGCCCGTGCCGTGCTCCAACCGTTTCACATCTTCGGGCAATCCCATCCATCCATCCAGCAAAGAGGAGCACCCGGAGATTTCAACGCGCTTCGTTCCCCCGCGTCCGGGCTTTCATGCCATCGCTGAGTCGTTTCTGTTAGGGAACAAAGACTGCGTAGGGCCCAATCAAGGTAAATGCCTGGCCCCCTGAGCGGGCACACGAGTGGTCGAGTGGACGTTCGTTCTCACAGAAAGATTCCTCCTCTGGCCGTGTTCATGGGGGCCTCCGATTGGAAAATCATCATCGTCATCTTGCGATCATAGACACACCCTGACCTATGTACCAAGGAACAGCTCGCTGATCATCCGTCTCCGTCCAGTGATCCATCGCTGCAGCAATTTGGTGGGGCAAGAGTACCTCTAGTCTAGGAACCTGCTCCGTTGGCTGGATCCCATCCTTTGAAAGCGTGCTGCGGGCACACTGTATCTTGGGCCAGAAAGGATAGCCAAGAGAGGCTTTACCGGCATTCGGGGCCGGTTCCTCGTGGAGTGTTTTCTCGGGTTGGTTGGAAGTGATCCCGGTTCCAGTTGAGCAGCAGTGTGGTCCCGTTGTGACCGCCCACCCCCCCTCGTGCCCCCCCAGTCTCGACCAGGGAAGCATCACCCGTGTGTGCGTGGGTGTACATACGTATTGCTTCAGTTTTCCTCACGGACCGCTTGTTGACAGCTGGGAGGCTACCTCTTTGAGCTGGCCCGCTGCTTATGCTGGCCACTGCCTACCACGGTTGCAGCTGTTGCTGGCTCGGGTAGGATCCACAAGAGAAGCATCGGGTCTTCGGGATTCAGGCCAGGCCAGGACAGGGCAGCCAGACACCGCTGACAGAAAGAAAGCCTTTTGCTTCGCTTTCTCCTCACCCATCGGAGGACGAAAAAAAAAAAGGGAAGAGAGAGCAATACCACCTCATCCTTGTTCCTCAACAACGTGGATTACAACAACATCCAGTACCACCTCAAGTCCCTGTCGTGCCTTTCCATGCGGCTACGGACCCAAGCAGACCTTTGTTCTTCCTGTTGTCGTTCCCTCCTCCCCTGGACATTTCAGCAGCACCAGCCCAAGGACCATTGTTCTCGTCTAGAGCATCCTCTACCCAGTCCTTTCCGAGTTCGAGCAGGTACCGATGCAAAACTTTCGCGAGATTCGACCGGCTTCCATCCCAACCAACGGCGGCCACGATGCTGAGGGAGTAGCAGCACAACCAGCACTACAGCCACGAGACCACACTGAGCAGCAACAACAACAGCGTCACACTCACAATCTCCCCCATGTCGTTGCCCCAGGCTTTTCAGTTGCTGCCGGAAATACAGGCCTTCCAATATCCGTCCAAGGGCCACAGCGATTGGAAAGTATTGTGCTTCCGAGGAGAAAGCGCAGTGTGGTTCAAGCATGCCGTGACTGCCGCAAGACAAAGGCCAAGGTGTGACATTTGTTTGTTTTTCTGGTGCTCTACACTATTCATCATGTCCTTCATGTCCTTCTTCGCCACCCTTTTCCCATCATTTCGCCTATTTCCCGTGGCTTGCATACCCGTATTACCCGTTAGCCACCCGCGTGTCAAGTTAACGTGTGCCTGTGTCATGTCAGTGTTTGCTAACCCCTGTCCCGGTTCTTGTTTACCACGGGCAACCCCCCCAATCTAGTGCGGCGGACAACGTCCCAAGTGCAACAACTGCAAAGCCAAAGGACGACAATGCGGGTACGATGGCGAAGAGGGCCAGTCGCGGTACAAGGCCATGAAGTCGCGCCTGGCACTGCTGGAGAAGACGATGCAGCAGCTGAGGAAAGCGACGGCCGAGCAGGCGGTGCGCTTGATTGAGGAGCTGAAGCAGACGCCTGACGATTTTTTCACCCCCATGGCGGCTGTTGACGAGGATGAGAACATGAATACGCCTACCGGTACATCGCCATCGACGGTTACGACCTCGGTTGGGAATATCTCCACGGCTTCTGGGTCACGCCACAGCTCTGGCCAGTCCATGACCGGTCTGGCACACCAGGAACAAGAAGAAGCGTCTCCCTTTCGTGATCGAGCATCAATCTCGACCGAACCGCCCATCTTGTCTCCGACGCCGTGGCAACTATGGGTGGACAACAGCAGCACCGCGGTCAATCCGTCTCCCGGAGGAGCGTCCAGCAGCAGCGATGGACGACGACAATCCTTCCCATCGGCAGCCATTCAGATTCCGATTCCCGACCTCGAGACTACCAACGCCGCTATCAACGAGTACTTTATCCGTATCGACCAGCTCTTCCAGCCCTTTTCCCGCGACGAGCTCAAATCTCTGCACCGAATTGCCTCCGGCCTTGACGACTCTACACTGAATTCTGCCCCCATGGACCGGAAACGGCAACAGCAAATAGCCCTCAGCTGCCTCACAGCCGTCGCCTCCCTTGGTTCTCAGTGCCTTATGGATGCGCAGACGGACAGCCGGGTTCAAGAACAAGAAGCGTTTACGAATATCGCCAGACATTACTTGGATGTGGTTATCGAGCACGCGCCGTTAGACGCAGTACGAGTGTGTGCGCTGCTGGCGGGGACAGTGATTATGAACAAGCCTGGGTTGGCGCTCAGTTATGTTGGTGTGTTTCCTTCCCCCCTTTTGCCTTTTTTCTTTCCTTCTCTCCGCCGGCTTTCCAGTCTTTCAGCTTCCTCTTTTTTCCCCTCCTTTTCCACCCTTCATTCCTTCCAGAAACACCTCATGTCATGAAAGACCAATCGCAATTGCAGTGCAATAAGAGCTTAGACTGGAAGGAAAGAACGAGGTTGGAACAAGAAGAAGTCGTGAGAAGATCCTCATTCACGGCTGGGGAGATCTACGGCCCATCTCTCCCGTCCGAATCGAACACAGACTGAATCGAGATACACTAACGCCAAGATCTGCAATCCTCCCCCCTTTTAAAGAAACGGGAATAAACCTGTTTTCTAGAGCCTACAGGATGAATCACGATGCGGCGCAGAAGCAGGCACAACTAGTCGAGGCCCAACAGGCGCAGAGACACCACCAGACTCTGGCTGCTGCTGCTGCTTCTTCTTCTTCTTCTTCTTCTTCTTCTTTGCAGGCGCAGCTCGCCTTGTCTCCTCCTGTGCTGCCGCATAAGGAAACAATCGGCCATGGAAGAAGTTGGCGGACGTTGGTTTTTCTGGCGAGGTACGTATCGTTTTTTATCTGTTGTTGTATCAACGTCAACTTGTTTCGATGTCGTTCCATTCCATGTCGTCGTTGCTGCTGCACGGACCGTGTGCGTGCGCGTGCCGGCATGGTGCCAATGGACGACGACGTATGGATGGATGGTGTGGTGTGACAAAGGGGGGAACTGCGGAACCGGCCGCTTTCTCCACTGATCGTCGGTTTTGTCGCTATTGGACAGGTAGAGGTAGTTCCCTGCTGTGTTGCCTGGAATGCTAATATTTCCCTCGTCTCCAGTTGGCTGAGCTCGGCTCACGGATACATTATTGGTAGCGACTTGTTGGTTGAGAGACAATTGGTGAGTTATTTTCTTCAATTGCTGTTCGGAACTATTGGGAGGCTATTGGGAGGCCTATAATCTCCACACTACTATCAGATGCCCCGGATTCTCGACCTTAAGAGAGAGAGAGAGAACATGTGCTGACCAGTAGCAGAGTCCGGAAGCTGAGCCGCCGTATCCCGAGAATGCGGATTTGGTCGAGAGTAAGTCCTGGCGTTTGGTTTCTTGGTTGTCATTGTTTACAACGCCCCTTTTTTGCACAGTGTCACCATCACAACTGCCCCTGTGTCAACCCTTCCGAGTCATCCCCTTTCATCAAACAACAACACCACCACCACCACCACCACCACCAATCTCGTCTCCAACTAACACCTCCCACAGTCACAGAAATAGCCCTAACCCGCCTCTGCTACATCAAATCCTTCATCCTGCGCCTCCGTGCCTCCAACCGGGATCTTACCCCCCACTCCATCCGTCACGTCCTCCACTCCCTTCGCCACTGGTACCACACCCTCCCCTCGGCCATCCAACTCAACTTCCACGACCTGTCTCGCTTCTCGCCCGCCGGTTCGCCCTTCCCCCAGACGACTTCCGGAGTCTCTTCAGGCTCGACCTCCGGCCTCCTCGAAACCCATCGCTCCATCCACCACATCCACATCCTCTACTCCGACTCCATCACCTTGTTGTACCGCTGGTTAATCTCCCAAAGCATCACCTGCCGGCTGCACGGCAACCACGAGGGGCATCATGCACTGGACACACCCCTTCGGGAACTTCTCCTGGAACACGCGGATGACGCGATCCGCGTCGCCGGACTAAGCGCCGTGGTGTTGCGGAAAATGATTCACAATGACGAGGAAATTCTGATGCCCTCCTGGACTGCTGGGTTCCAGGCTTATACCAGCTGCGCGGTTCTGCTCTGGTCAGTAGTAGGCAAGATGATCAACAGCATCGGTCTTTACCCTTCACAAACAACATCAAGAGGCACGGGAGGTGAGACAAACAGCATGGACGAACGGGAATACCAGGACCGCTATGGCTGGCACGGCGAACTCGAGCGTGTACGCGATTGTCTAGTTATTTTGGAGCTGTGCGCTCGCTTGGGAGGAGGGAGAGATGGGGCAGAGAGGTGGTGGAGGCGCATGAGGGCTTTTCTTGCGGTTGTGGAATCTTCTGTCACTTATCGACTGTGGGAACAACAGCAGCAACATCGACAACAACAACAACAACAACGCCCGCCGCCCCTGGCCCTCGAACCCCAAGATCGCAGCTATCTCCTTACCCTCCCATCTCCGCACGCGACTATGAACTCCAGCGGCAAGCCGGTGGCGGTGGATTACTCCCTCGCCAGAGTCTCGGTTAGTCTGATAATGCTCCTACATCAAAGTTTTGGAGCGCCGGGGAGCCAGAAGCTGGAGGGAGTAGGCGATGAAGAGTTTGCAGCGGGGGATTGGGGACAGCACTCTTCGCGGAGAGGAAGTGCAACTGGGGCAGATGAGAATGAGAATGGAAATGGCAGTGCCAACTTGTTGAGTGGCTTGTTGGATTTGGAGAGCGAGCAGGCGAGCATTTTGGAATGGTTGGGGTGGAATCTGCCTGTGAGTGGTGGAATTGGGTTGAATGGGAACGGGGATGTGCCTGTTTATCCGGTGATTTCGGGCGGTTATCAGGGGATGAACCAAGATGATCGTCGTGGTAGCGGTGGTGGTATGGGGATGACGAGGATGGACTTGGAGAGGTAGTGAGCCTAGACTCTGATCTGCAAGTTAAAGTCCAAGTTTTCCGCTTGTTTCGTGCTGTGGTTGGCATTTGTGTCGAGCTGTTGCTGGTGATGCGATGCAAGAGCGACTCGGTGTTGCAATCTTGTTAACGAACTGTTCGACCAAGGTCGGTACGCAATCTCGAGCTTGAACCACTCGTGGAAGGAACAAGGACGGAACATCCTTCGCATTCAAATACTACAAGTTGAGAGAAGCAAGAGCCATATGCGTTTCCACGTAGAGGTACCAAGATCGACCCAATCCCAAACCCTCCACGAGACGCCTTCCATGCATGTCCAACTTGTTTACATCAATGCCACTGCTGTGACAAGGGCAGTATTCTGGGCTTGGAACAGTAGTTCAATTCAGCTGATAAACTACTTTGGTCTCGAAGGCCTTGTTGATCCTTTTAAGCCCTTTCCGTCTGGCTGGGCTCAATAGCCTTCTTATACTAAAGTCTTCCTCCTTCTAATTGGTACGTATATAAGTCCTATTTGCCTAATTCTATCGTAAGGCTATAAGGTATCTATTTAGCGGTAAATATTATTGCGCGTCCCCGCGGATCTTTCTAAATACCTTCCTCTAATCTCCTATCCTTCCGTACTAAGGATATTAGTAGCGCTAACTTAGTTAGTTATAAAGCGTTACTATAGCAATAAAGGTTCGTTTCCTAATTTCGTTTAATTTTAACCGGTATAGGGAAGCTAAAGGATTAGCTTAATTACTAATCGTAGTTCTAACTAATTTTGTAAGGGGATTCCGGGTATATTATACCGTTAATTAAATAATCTATCTAATTGGGTTGTAATATCATATTATTGCCTAAAGTACTTAAGGCTAAAAACGTATTATAAAACTAAAATTATATAATACGGTTCTATTATTAATTTATAGGGTTATATTACGAACTTAAGCAACTACGCGGGCTAACTAGGCTATTGGGATGTAATAGCCCCGCTTACGATAAGATAGTATAACTTTAGATTAAGGTAGGAAATAAGGGAGTACCGGAAGGGCGCTTACTAGGATAGGCGCTTACAATAAGTAGTGCTTATAATAAATAATATTTACAGTAAATAATACTTACGGTAAGCAGTGCTTATAATAAGTAGAATACTATTGTAAGTATACGCTTAGGATTAAGGCCTTAGGACGAAGTATAGAATATAAAAGGACGATTAGAGAATTTAGATTATTAAATAGTTCGATAATAGTTAATTAATCTTTATTACCGAAATTAGTATTATATATATATACTTATTATAAACCTTTTAATTTTACTAAATAGTATTAATAGTTCTTTACCTTCAATTATCCTACTTAAATAAATTAGACTACTGTTCGTTATACGTTAATTACTCCCTTTAACCTATTTCGGATAGTACTAAAAGTATTTTTACTTCATTATATTCTCCTCCGCTAAAACTAATATTTAAAGCGAACCTTTAAACTTCGTTACTATATAATAATAGTTTAAGGCTATATAAAACTATATTATTTAATTAGAAGTTCAATTCTAAGCTAGAACCAATACCCCTAAAGCGAAAGCAGGGGAAGGAACCCCCCCTAAGGAGCGTAAGAAAATTAAATTATCTATACCTAAAGAGTTTAATAGCTAGTAAACCGCCTTCGCGGGATTTTTAATTTAAATACAAACCTATTTCTATTTCTATATAGATTAATTTACTTCCGAATTTGAGAAGGTAACTTATATAGAAACTAGATTTATAAATAAAGCTTTTATTTAATATAAGCTTATCTTTAAAAACTATTATAAGAATAGAGAATAAGTTTTGGACTTTATTAAGAAAATTCTAAATTTTTATACTAATTTTACTGACGTTCTCTCTAGAATTTTTAAAGAGAAGGATAAGATTCGGTAGGTTTAAAAACGCCTAACCTATTTTCAATAAACTAAGTCCGCTTTAACCTACACTATACATTTTAAATAGAATACTCTTCGTAGTAATATTAATAATAATAGGTTAATATAATTATTTTATAATAGTTTTAAGGATAGGGTTAAAGACGAACTCTATAAGGAAGATAGGCTAGAATCTATTAACGTTTATATAAATAAGGTTATTCGTATTAACGACCGATAATTCTAATAGGAATAGGAGAAAAAAGAAAAAACAACTACCTTCATTCCTTTCAAATCTACTAATATTAAGAAAAAAAGGATTTAGGGAACTTATATTTTAGGAACCACTCACTCTAAACCTATAGAAATCGATACTATTTAAATTAATTAAAGTAAATATAATTTTTTAAAAATTAAATACTTTAATTATAGTAAAACCGGATATATAAAAAAGGATTATTATACCCTTAAGTAATTAAGGTAGAAGAAGGCGGAAGCCGCTATAGTAGAAGGAATTAGGGTAATTGAGATTACTAATACTAAATACAGCTAGGACGATTTAGAAGACGCTATAAATAAGGCTATAAATTATAATTTAAAAGTATATTAAAAAGCGGATAACGAATATAATTAGGAGGGATTTAATAAAGAAAACCCTAAGTAAGAAAAATTATAGGGAAATAAATTATTTTTAATACGGACGTATTAGGCTCCGACGTAGGAAGAATTTAGTAATTTCCCTATTACAGACCGAAGTTTCCTTACTGTAATATATATAATATATATTATTCCTCCCCTAGCCCTATTATTTATACCCGTAATTAAGGAATATAGTATTTAGGACTTTATTAATTTATACTAATATAAATACCCTAATAACTTCGCTGCTAAACATTAAATAGAACCTTTAAAATACTATTTTAATAGAAGTTAGGCGAACGAATTATAGGACAATTTTTGGAAGAAACGGGCGGTTATTATCGAGGGGAAGCTACAAACTACTTAAGAAAAGACCCTAGAACTAATTAAAGCGTACAAACTAATTGAAGGAAATATAGTTTAAATATACCTTCTCTATTACGTGTATTATTAAATATTATAATTCTAATATATTATAGATAATTACTATAAGTATTTTAAGAAGAAATAGGATAATCGTTTTTAACCTACTAGAAGATTAAACGTATAAAGCTAACCTAAATTAATTACTCGCACTTTTAATCGAAGAAACTCTTAAACTACCCTTATTATTAATAAAGAATTTATATTTAATTTACACTCTTTTATAAAATTAAATAAATAATTAGTACCTAAGAGACTCCTAACCCGCCCGTATAATATTTATATTTATATAAGCTAGGGAGACGCCGATTATTATTAGTAATAGTACTTAATATCCAATTATCCTATCTATATAAAATAGAAAGCCTAGGATATCGAAGCCGAATTCGATAAATATATCCGGAAGGCTAAAATAATTGAATATACCGAAAAAAAAAAAGCCGAATACTTAATATAATTGTAGGAATATAATTCGTAGGATAAGTACGAACCTAAGGAAGAGGACGTTCTTAACGATTATTGCTAGGAATTAGGAAACGGTTTAGGGCCTTTAGGGAGGCCTAATGAAAATTAAATCCTTAAATAAAGAGGATTATCCGATAATATAACCGCCGGAAGTATAAAATTTAAAACCTTATAGTATTTATGAAAATTATAATTATAAAGGAAGGGAAGGAGGATTAACGGTTTAAAATTGTAGCCTATTAAAAAAATTATTAAGCCTTTATATTAGTAAATTCTAGAGTTTAATTGAATTTTATTTTATTTAAGTTTATTATTTAATTAAGGATTCCTTAAAAGAAGAAGAAAGTTCCTTTCGTAGTAAAAGGACCTTTTGAAATACAAAATATAAAAAGGGAAATAGTACTACTCCCTATTATAGTAGAAGGGAAAATAATTGAAATTAGCTTCGATATTATCGATATAAGGCTATCCAAAGATATAATCCTAGGGTACCTATAGTATATTATATATAACCTAAATATTAATTAGAAGGAAAATAACTATTTATATCCTAGGACGTACCCAATTATTAATAGGAAGCCCGAAGTATAGAAGGAAGTAAACTACGAAGGTATTATTCCTATAGCCCTATTATAAATAATATAGGAAATTATAATTTATACTATCGATAAAAGTAGTAAAGTTATAGAAGAAGGGTTAGTAATATTAGTAGAAATATTAGTAATTAATACTCAATACAAATTTAATTATTATTAGAACTAATAGGCGGAGAAACCGAAGATAGTAATTCTAGTAAAATATTAAAGATACCCAGCTTTCGTTAGTAAATATTTTAAAGGACTACTACTATAAGGATTGTAGGACTATAAAATTAAATTTAAGGAAGGAATTAAATTTAAATTCTTTAAAGTATATTATATAAATAAAAAATAGAATATAGAATTAAAAAAGTATTTAAACGAAAATTTAAAATAAAAATATATTCGGGAATTTATATTACTAATAGAGTACCCTATCCTCTTCGTACTAAAGAAGAATAGAAAATTACGCTTTTATATTAATTATAGGCAATTAAACTAAAAGACTATAAGAAATAATTATCCCCTACCCCTAATTTTATATATCTGAAGTTAATTAGGAAAAATACAATACTTTACGCGCCTTAATTTACCTATTATTTATACCTATATCCGGATTAAGGAAAGAGATGAATAGAATATAATATTTCGTATACTTTACAAATATTATAAATACTTTATTATACCCTTTAAATTAATTAATATACTTATAATATTCTAATTTATTATTAATTATACAATTCGACCCTACTTTGATAAATTCGCTATTTACTACCTAAATAATATCCTTATTTACTCTAAGACTTTTATAGAATATAAAGAATATATAAAGAAAATACTAAATATACTATATAAATATAAACTCTCTATTAATATATAGAAAAGCGAATTCTATATAAGAAAGACTATATTTCTTAAGTATTTGATTTTAAAAAATAAGGTTAGAATAGAATTAAATAAGGTAGAAACCGTACGGAACTAACCTACGCCTAAGAATACGACCGAAGTCTGTAAATTCTTAAAATTTATTAATTTTTATCGAATATTTATATAGGACTACAAAAAAATTACTAGGCTATTATACAAATTTATTAGGAAGGAAGCCGCTTTTATATAGGGAAAAACGGAAGAGGAAACTTTTAGAGCTATTTATAATACAATTACTATAGACCCCATACTAAAACTTTCTAATCCGAATAAACCCTTTAAAATTGAAATTAATACGTTAAATTACGTTATTAAAAGATAATTAGAATAGTACAATAATTAAAGAAAATTATATTCTATAACTTTCTTTTTAAAGAAATTAGAAGAACCCTATTACAATTACCCTATTTATAATAAGGAACTCCTAACTATTATTAAAGCGTTTTAAAAATAGAAGCTATATTTTAATGAAATTATATATAAAGTACAAATTTATACCGACTATAATAATTTTCGGTACTTTACGACTATTAAAGTACTTAATAATTATTAAATATAATAGGCCGAATTTTTATTAGAATTCAACTTCAAAATTAATTATAAAAAAGGATTAGAAAATATTCGTACTAACGCTTTAAATCGACGAATAGATTATATAAAGGATATAGTAGAAGCCTTTATACTTTTATTCTAAAAATAACCGGACGGATTATTTGTATACCCCCTATAGGAATAAGTAGAGTATTATACTATTTATTAAATTAAATTATAAGACCCCGGTTATTAGGCTTCTATTACTACGCCTAAGGAAAGGTAACAATAGGAAAATAGTTAGGAAGAAGGAATTATATTTTAGAATAATAAATTATAATATTATAATAAGGTTTATATTTGGCCGGAATAACGTAAAACTTTTATTATAAGAATTTATACGTTTAAAATAGGAGGATATATAAATATTATAAAAACTATAGTACAGATATAGTAATATTACGATTTTTTAAGAATAAAAGCCAAAGTAGCTCGAATATTATAAGCCTATAAATACTATAGTAGGACTAAGGTTATAAAATATAAATTATATAGATTCTTCGAACCTTTAGAAATTGTAGAAAGGCCGTAGAGTTTAGTAATTATAGACTTTATTACTAAATTACTACTATTTATAAATACTATTATAGAAATTATATATAATAATATATTAATAGTAGTAAATAGGCTAATTAAGTAGAATTATTTCCTACACTATAAAAAAATATAATTAGGGGAGTAATTTATAAATATAATTTACTAAAATATTACTTCGGTATACAATTAGCTGAAGGAATAAATTACAAATAGGGATACTAGGTTCGTATCTAAATTCTAATAAGTATTAATAATTAAATTCAATACTAAAAGTAAAATATTAATAGTATATTACCTATAAACGGACGGATAAATAGAAATAATTAACCAAATTGTAGAATAATATTTGAAGAACTATATTAACTCTGAATAAAGCAATTAAGTAAAATTATTACTTATAGCGCAATTAATATATAATATTTCCCCTATAGAGACTACAAAGGTTTCACCTTTTTCTATAAATTATAAGTATAAATTAAAATTCTTAGAAGGATTAAATACGAATATTCCTAAAGCTTCGATTAAAGTTGGAAAATTATATATATTATATAAAAAATTTAAAGAAGAACTAGAATACGTCCGGTAAAAAATAAGCTAGTACTTTAATTTTAAAAAGTTTAAGGGACTTTATTTTAAAAAAGGGGATGAAATCCTTTTATTAATTAGGAACCTTAGAATAAAAAGACCTAGCAAAAAATTTAATAACTAACGGGTAGGCCTATTTAAAATCAAAAAGAAAATTTCTAATATAGTATATTAATTAAATATTCCTAATACTATAAAACTAAAATTATATTTATTCTATATTATACCACTAGAATTAGTACTTAAGAACGTACGAATTAATATATATATTAGTATTAAGGACGAGGAAGAAAAATAAAATATAGAATAAATTTTAAATTTAAAAATAGAGAAAAGGGAATTATAATACTTTATTAAATAGGAAGGATTTAATCCCGAAAATAATATATAGAAACCTATTAAAAATTTAAATTACCCTAAGAAACTAGAGGAATTCTACCAAAGGAACCCGGATCGGCCCGGGGCAAAGGATTATTTAATTAAAAGGTAAAGTAAATTACGAAATTTAAGGACGTTTAATCTATAAGCGTAAGGGTCGAAGAAATAATAATTATAGTAAGCTACTCTTCGTTAAATAAAAGTTTAAATTCTCGCTTAATAGCCCTATCCTCTTTATTTTATACTTCTAATTCTATTAACGCTAGTAATAATATTTCCCTACCCTCTTTAACTAACCGATCCTTCTTCTATTTCAAACGGGCTAATCGAAGTTTCTTCTCTTTAAACTCGAAAAACTTCTCCTAAAGTTCGAAAGACTTTTTATTAACCTCTCAAATTAAGGCTTTAATATTTTAAAATATATATTAGTATTCGGTAAA